TGGCGCAATAACCATTAATTGTCACTTTCGTTATTAAATACTACACTAAATACAAAATAAATAGCACCATTAAATTTCTTGTAAAAACTGGTTATTATGAAGTTATTTTAAAATGTGTAAGTTCAACTCTTTTATATATATAAATGACGATTTTATTACTTCAGCATCTTGGTGTCGGGAAATAGTGATTTGTTAATTTGACTAATTTGTGCACATTACAGTGTAACTGGTAGTAATATATTTTATAACTCCCCGTATTTTTTATTTTTTTATTAAAATACGAAAGATAAGTATTTATTAATCTTCAAGTGTTACATTCTAATAAAATTAACAGACTTTACTATACGGAAAAATTAAGACTAATTTCAATTAAATAACAGTGCATGGTATCATAAAGTTTGAAATGTATCGTTTCTATAACACGTGTATTTCATGTTTTAAAATAAACCGACTTTAGTTTTTACGATAACCTCTTCTATTTTTTAAAGGAAATTTTACATTTTTAAAAGGTACAATGTTACAAATTATTATTGATTTGTACATTGTAAACGTCAGTTAGCTTTGCTACATTATCCGATGACTTTAACTGAATGATCTTTGAGTAAGATAAAATCTTTGAAGTTTGTTGATTTTACAAAACAAAATAAAATAAACGAAAATTTTCTTCCTCAAACACACTTCAGTCCTGTTTTCTACTTTGAACCTTTATCTCTTTAAATGTGGATATTTCATAATTCGAATGAGAAAACGTTATTGGGGTCACTTACATTTGACACCCTCGCTTAAAACACCGAAAAGTTACCTCTTAATTTCTTCCACAGATTTGATAGCATAAAAGTTTTATTTACAATGTTGTTATTATAGTATCGCTATGCCTTTTCCCCTATATAAACAGGGCCTGGAAAACGCTTACGAAGCCGATGTTGAGAAACAATGGCAGGAAAAGTTGAACGTTTTCAAAGAAAAAGGGACACCAAAACTTCTGAAATGGGATCCTTCCGCTCCCAAAAATAAGGAAGTCGGTACCCGACGTCACGAGGAAGAAGAGGAAGAGGAAGAGTTGCATATGCCTTCCATACCTGAACCGACAGTTGATGAAGAGGAAGAAGAAGAAGAAGCGGAGGAGGAAGAAGATGAAGAAGAGGAGGAGGAAGAAGAAGAGGAGGAGGAAGAAGAGGAAGAAGAAGAGGAGGAGGAGGAAGAGTAGGCATTGTGAGATGCAGATAGAATAAAGGTGTGCATATCTGAACCACATTGGCTATTTTTATATTAATAGTCTATTAAATAATAGTGCATATTTGAACCACGTTGGCTATTTTTATATCAATAGTCTACTAAATAATAGTGCATATTTGAACCACGTTGGCTATTTTTATATTAATAAGCTACTAAATAATAGTGCATATTTGAACCACGTTGGCTATTTTTATATTAATAGTCTACTAAATAATAGTGCGTGTTTGAGCCACGTTGGCTATTCTTATATTAATTGTCTACTAAATAATAGTGCATATTTGAGCCACGTTGGCTATTTTATATTAATAGTCTACTAAATAATAGTGCATATTTGAGACGTTGGCTATTTTTATATTAATAGTCTACTAAATAATAGTGCACATTTGAACTACGTTGGCCATTTTTATATTAATAGTCTACTAAATAATAGTGCATATTTGAACCAAGTTGGCTATTTTTATATTGATAGTCTACTAAATAATACAGAAAAAGAGCAGATCGCTACTTCTTGGAAAATGTAACACATTATTGAGAGCTTTCCAGTGACTAGTGCTTTGTTGATAGTTATATAGTGACTAGCACTTTGTTAAGAACTTTCTGGCGATTCGGGCTTTGTTGAAAGCTTTATAGTTGCAAGCACTTTGTTGATAACTTTCTAACGATTTGGGCTTCGTTGATAGCCTTATAGTGAGTGACCAGCACGTTGTTGATAGCTTTATAATGACTAAAACTTTGTTGGTAGCTTTATAGTGATTAGCACTTTCTTAATAACTTTCTAGTCATTAACAATTGTTGATAGCTTACTAGTGACTGGTACTTTGTTTATGACTTTATAGTGACTAACACTTTGTTGACAGATTTATAGTGACTAGCATTTTATTGACAACTTTTTAACTATAAGGATTTTGTTGATAATTCTATAATGACTAGTACGTTGGCGAAGGTTTTATAGTGACTAGAATTTTGTTGATAGTATTCTTGTAACTAGTGCTTTGTTGACACTTTATAGTAACTAGAATTTTGTTGATAGTATTCTTGTAACTAGTGCTTTGTTGACACTTTATAGTGACTAGAATTTTGTTGATAGTATTCTTGTAACTAGTGCTTTGTTGACACTTTATAGTGACTAACAATTTGTTGATAGTTTTGGTAATTAGTGCTTTGTTGACACTTTATAGTGACTAACAATTTATTGATAGTATTCTGGTAACTAGTGCTTTGTTGACACTTTATAGTGATTAGCAATTTGTTGATAGTATTCTGGTAACTAGTACTTTGTTGGCAGCTTTATAGTGACTAACAATTTGTTGATAGTATTCTTGTAACTAGTGCTTTGTTGACACTTTATAGTGATGAACAATTTGTTGATAGTATTCTGGTAACTAGTGCTTTGTTGGCAGCTTTTTAGTGGTTGATTAAGGAATCTTCATGCAGCTTAATGGTTAAGCAGATAACAAACTATATAATGCACGAGTGCGTGATTTACTATAACAAGTTAATAAAACATAAAATGAATAAAACAATCAGATTTAAAATCACCCCTGCATGTTTCAATTGGGCGACTCAGTCATCGTCAGAAGAAAAGTAAATTTGAAACTACACTTATTTTTCTCGCTGTCTAACAGCTATATATACATATATGAAATATTTTTTTCTTTACTCGTCACTAAGTTAAAGTTTTCACGTTTCTGTATGCTAAGCTCAAGTTTTTATTTTTCTGGCCACTAAGTTAAAACGCTTCTTTTTCTAACTGCTAAAGTGTTTTTTTTTCTTTACTGGTAGCTAAGTTAAAAGTTTCATAGAAACATCTATTTTTTTACTTTATATAATTTTTAATCTATAGATCTTTACTTTTAGTTTTAAGAAAACTATAACGTTTAAACATGTTCAGAAGTTGTTATTAGGCAACATTGTTAATGAATAATACTAACGACTATTAATATTTTTTTATTCTCCACAACAGGCTGTTTGAGTTCCTATAGCGTTAATGCCAGTGGAGATCATGAAGAACAGAATAAAAGAAAACACTCTTTCTCTTCAAACTGACCATAAAATTCCTCCATCTAAGTCCCATATATAGTTAGATCCTGAGTTCAACAGTTTTACTTTCTCTTCAAACTGACCATAAAATTCCTACATCTAAGTCCCATATATAGTTAGATCCTGAGTTCAACAGTTTTACTCAATCTCACACTGTATGTGTACGTATTTAGTTTTAAAAAATATTTACTCCTTCAAAGACTTCAACATCTACAGAAGAGCCCGTAATTGTTACAAAAAATGCATATTTTCTAGTGAATTTAGATATATAATCCAAAAACGAAAGTTTTGTGACATTTCCACTGTACTCCTGACCTTAATTCTATAGGATCTTGTAGCTTACTCGCTGTGAACAGAAAGAGTTTTAGGAGCCGATGCTCTCTGGTGTTGCATTTAAGCACTAGGCTCACTGGTTTCTCTATGAGATCTGGTCGTAGGAAAAAGAAGATTTTAGTGGCTTCCAACTGTTTTACATATCCCATTGTGTAGCAACCTAATGGTCTAGTTGTTATGAAACACACCTAAAAAGGTTAAAAAAGACCAAGTAGTAATTTAGATATCGATCATGTAATGGTTTGTAAACTATAAGTAAAAATATCCAAAACTGTAATAATTGGGCTTTTCTTTAAACTGGACATTTTATGATAGTGTTTTACGAAAGTAGAAAATGCTTCAGATTCGAAATATTGTTTGTTTGTGTGTCATGAGGCAATATATGCCCTACTGTAAATGGCTGTCTTCCTTGCCTATATAAGACCGTGACTCGAAAACATGGTTTCGTGGGTTTTTGCAAATTACTTGTGTATGATAGGAATGATTTTGCTCTTATGGAAAATAAAAGTGCTTGGAAACTCAAAGTGTGAGAATATTTTACTGAACATGGTTATATACTTTGTAAAAACGACTTGCTTCTTTTATAAATTATTTTGCGTTATTTTCCATTACGGGTGTTTCCGAGAGGAAGAGTGTGGTTGAAATATTATGACACACTCTTCTTTTTTGGAAAAATCCTCAGGGTCCTGTATGAAGAATGTGGTGTTTAAAAATTCAGTGAGCCTGATATTATTGTCTTATCTTAAACATAATTTACTATAATCACGTTTCGCAAGCAAGAGGCGTTTACATCAACACTTGTTATTCTAACAAATGGCTAATTTAAATAGTATTCCGACCATTAATTTGATCTGTTTTGTATTCTTAATTCTGCTTATTTGTTTTTTGTATTTCCGCCCACCTAATGAGCTCTGGTATCGAGCGAAACGCATCGTCTGCATTGGATGTAGCTGACATAATGTGGTTGAAATGATATAGACTCTTGTTTTCGGAAACACTTAAGGAATCGAATAAAGAATACAGCGTTAAAAAATACATTAAGCTTAATGCAATAATATTATGACTAATACAAGTGGTTATTTGTTCTACATTTTATTTATATAATCAAAAAATAAGTAGCTATTTTTAACGAACATTTTCTGTATTTCAAACTACTTAAGCGTTTTAAAACTCTTTTTATATTATAGAATTGTTTTTGTTTTTCAAAATGATTTAGTTTTTGAAAGTATTCAAGAAGTTTATTGGGAAGAAATTACTTTGAGAAAACAACTTATGTTATTCTTTCTCGAATTATTAAAGCTTTACTGCTCACCACAGGAAGTTAAACGTCATAGCAAATTTCTTTCATTCCAGAAGTCGTCATTATTCTACGATGAGATATATCTAGTGGTCATTACAAAGCAGGCTTAATTAAGAAAACTGTGATAATCAGACTAAGGAATTAGATGCTAGAAGTAACAATAAACCACATTAAGATGTACTTATGAATTCATAATAGCTATTGCATTTTGAAGCGACAAGTTAGCTGTAGAAGTAAAATTAAATTCATTTTTTATATCCCTTTTTAAGAAAATCGTCGATTGAATAATTTTTTGAGTTAATTACGTTATTTAGGGACACTCACTGCTTCAAAACAGCTCAACAATCAACTTTTATTAACGTAGCAATGTAATTTTTAGAGTACAATAGCAACTGTAAGTAGGCGAAAAACTGCAAGGATGAGATAATAAGCAGTAATATAAAACAACGAAAAAAATATTTATAACAAATTCGCACCCCTAACAAAAATTAATAAGAATGTATCAGACGGAGAAATTATATAAGGTAGAATGGTTTGAGAGGGAATAACTGCAGTAGTAACAACCAAATTCTTTAACAAAACTAGTATATAAAAACGGTAGATAATCAGTTAAGAGAGACTCGAGATATGAACTTTACATATATCCATTATATCCTGAGTTTAACCACACACATCTGTCATCCACGGCCAATTGTGAGCATGATGGTTACTCTTTAAAGAACCATGCTAAATAATAATATTAATTTTATTGCATTGTATAAATATTTCATTGCATCTAAACACTACGAGATATCTTATTACGATGCATGCGTACACATTGCAGTATGTTTTATCATATAAAAAGTATAAAAACACATCGCAGTGTGTTCTATTACATATAGTGGGAATATTGGTTAACATGCGTGCCAGTCTGTGTATTCAAATGTTCTAGTTCGCGTCCTGTTACAGCAAAATCGCTCTTCTAATTTTGGGGCCATGGGTGTATTATAAGAGTAACGGTCAAATCTCATTGTTCCATTAGAGAAATCCAAGAGTTGTCGAAGGTGCCATTGACTAGTTGCATACCCTCTAAACTGTCATTTCAGAAATAGAGACAGGTAGCACCCTTGCGTAGCTTCGGGAAAATATCGGAAACAAACCAAATACAAACAGTGACTGTATAAAGAGTGCGTTACGTTTCAATATATGTAGTGTGTATAAAAATTACACTACGGTATGTTTCATATCAAGCAATGTTTATAAATATATCACCAACTGCGGTATGTTTCATAACATGAAGCGTGTTTCATTACTTACGAGGATCTACAACGTGTGGTATGTTCCATAAATTGCGTTTCATTACTTACATAGTATCTATATAACCTGTGGTATGTTTTATAAACTGTAGCGTGTTTCATTACTTAATTAAAGTAGGTGTACTCAGCGTGGTCACAAGTAAATAGACACCACCTTAATAATAACAGTTTTCTAAACGTACGGAGAGAGAGAGAGAGAGAATTTCCTATCAGTGTCTCTTGTTAAAAAGTTATACACATGAAAAATATCTAGGAATGGCTTCTAAATTAAATAAATGCGTTTGTTTGAGACATTGTTCCTGTTATTTTGTATTATTATTTAATACAGCTTTAATCTTTTAGCAGCTGCTTATTGTATTTTAACGAATTATATATTTGAGTTTTATATATTATTTTAGTAAGTATTTACCTGATGTTCATGTTATTTAAGTCTTCCTTCAAGCACAAGATTTTAGCCAACACATTGTAGCGTTCTTCAAACTTTCTTTAGTTTCTATCATTCTCAGATACACAAGTACACATGAAAAATTTATGATTATGTTAACAATATGTTTTACTTCAATGTATGACTAAAACTCGGCTAGGAACTTTTCTGGTCGATATCTGACAACATCTGCCCAATTTAGTAAACGGTAATGCCTGCCTCAAGTAAAAATATCTGCCTATTTATTCTGAATATTCTAAAATATTTAGTAGAATTAATGATATAACGTTTACGAAAGTCTCGTAATAATAGTAGATCGATAAATTTTAGGAATGTATGAATTTTTGTTAGTATTTATCGAATGTAAAACTCCGTAACAAAAAAAGGTGATCACGTGGACTAGGTTATCTTATTTGAACGTTTTCCGAATATTAATCAAAGATATAGATTGAATAAATATGATGTTCTTACTTTAACATTGATTCTTAATTGATGTATTTTATACCTTAAACCTGATAAGGTTTATTACGTTTTGAATAACAACCCTTGAACTTTTTCTGCTGACCCTGATAATTGAGATTACTTTTTCAATCATTCCTATATTCGAAAGTTTCCTCTTGACCATAATAGGCTGATGTTCTTATTTTATGAATTATTGGTGTTTTCTACTATCATTGAGTGTTTTAAAGAAAACTATGAAAAAATCGTGTACACAGCGTGGTCACAAGTAAATAGACACCACCTTTTCAGAAAAAATGAAATTTTTCAGTCATATT